CAATCAATCAATCAATCAATCAATCAATCAATCAATCAATCAATCAATCAATCAATCAATCAATCAATCAATCAATCAATCAATCAAACAAACAAACAAACAAACAAACAAACAAACAAACAAATAAATAAATGGGAGTTTGATTCCCCACTGTGCCTTCTTGATAGGGGCTGGACTTGGTGATCCACTGGGTCTCTCCTAGCTCTGCAGTTCGAAGATAATTACGATATATTTGCCTGTTATTAGTAACTCCATGTACCTGGGTGGGAGTTTATAGATAAGACTTTCACCATCTTCTGTCCATATGATGACTTTGTCTGCTGACACAAAATCACCACCTGTCCAAGTCTGTCCATTCTCACTGGGAACTGAGCATAACAGGGAATAATCTCCAGCATCAAACACCTGAAGCAAGATATTTCCAATGAACACTTAAAGCAAAATAGTTACATAAAAGAAACCAGTCATTCAATCATAAGATGTGCCAGTAAATGACTGCCTAAGATTTCAGCATCTTAATCTTCCCTGCACTTTAGAAATTTAATACACACATAAACAGAATTAAAATGGGTATAGTGGCAACCCTGCACATCCCTAATCATTTGCACAACGAAAACATTAAAAATTATTAAGATAAACAGATCTCAAACATGAAATGTTTCAGTGTAAAACATCCATAACTGCCACTGATGTTTTAGATCAAAACACTTCTCACTTCAGATCTCTTCTATCTTTTTTAATTGCATATTTGTTGTTTGGGGTTTTGGTGTAACCCAGATCAAAAGGCATAATGTAAATATAACAGCTAATCGTGTTTGTGTTTCCAGTTATTATTTTTTAAAAGCATTTCTCTCCTGTTTTGCCAATTTTTAAAGACATCTCTTTAAAAAACATTGTTCTAAAAAAATTAAAAACCTTTAAAAAATACAAAGCCATATAGCAGAATGCCCGTGGAAAGGGGTTAAAATGAGCCTCCCTAGCCAGGAGACCAAATACCCTAACCAATCTGAAAATAAATTATTTAAAAGATTTAGTAAGCAGAAGCCATGCCCATTATTTCAGTATTCTGCTAACAAGTAACACGACCTTTTGATAGATGCCTGCAACATAGCAACACAAGAGTAACATGCTAGCAGTGTGAGATCCCATAAACTGAAGGGATTATATATTCCATGAAACCAAACTCTAATTGATTTATAATCAGAATGTCCTTAATTTGTTTGCATATGTGCCTAAGAGACAATTTAATTACAGTAGCCTGCAGAACAAAGAAAAGCCAGCTATTACTTAAATGGCTAGTCTTACCCGCCAGTATTTGGAGCAGACAACCAGAAGTGATCTTTGGGTAAATGCACAGAAAGAAATGCTTTGGCAGTTCTGACAGTAAATTGGTTTAGATTCCTCCTCAAAGATTGGCTCTGTATCCTGAAGAGATAAGAGGGAATCCAAGGTTAATTCTTCATCTACATGGTAATCTCCAACAGACTTCACTTCTCTACTCTTCTTTTGCATGCTTACAATTTAGGTTTGTAATGAAGCTGAATTTTCTTAATATTCTTTCCTCCTGCCCTTGTTGCCTTGAAACCTAGGATTAGAAGTGTATTCCAAATGCAAAAGCAATTGCCAGTTTCTACCATTTCTTTTCAAATGCTTTTGTCACTCTAAATTCTGTGCCACTCAGATGCCCTCTCCTCCCACACCTGCAAACAACTTTCCTTTTATAGTGAAAAGGTGCTGCCTACATCTGAGTCTTCAGTTGTCATCCAAGGAGAGGAAGCTCTCTGAGCTTTAAAAACATGGCTAGGAGATTATACCTCCATACCACCACCACTCTTCAAACAGCTGGAGAGTGATACAGGACTGGTAGCAGGTACAGGAGTGCCTCGGTTTATAAACACCTCAGTTAATGTAATTTTCGGTTTATAAATAGAAATCCATTGAAAATAATGCCTTGGTTTATGGTTTTTTCCTGTTTTTTTCCAGTTTACGAAGAAAGTTTCCCCAGGATGCAATGTGTCTGGAGGTTTATAGCGCTGCCCCCGTTCACATTGGCTTAAATCTTGCTTGTTAAGGCATAATTTTTGAGGAAAATTCCTCAAGTTAAGAAATATCCACAGACATTATCTTGCACAATTCAGTATGCAAGAGTTAAAGTTTACAAAAAGTTCTCAACTTGAGGCAATTCACCTCCAAAAGCTACATCTTTTGAGTAACTTTAGCAAATTATTGGCTATTATTTAATTAGCTATTCAAGTACAGTATGTTGGAGTGTGGCCTGTCTAGCCAAATAGCTAAAAAAAATCTAAAAGTCCTAGCTTCATGAAAAGTAGTCATTATTTTCCCTGCTGAGTAAACTAATATGAAATATATAACACAGAATCTGGAGGCCAGAGAGGAAGTTCATGGTGAAACCCACACTCTGCATGCACTGAATGAGACAAAATGGGGGCAGTACATGAAAACACAAAGGTCAGGACTACAAAGAAAGGAACTAAAGACACAATGTACTGAACAGAATCAAATGCCCATAACTGGAGAAAAGGGTACAAATCTTCACGAAGTTGATTTCCTATGTGTTCTCATTATAAATTACAGCACTCACTTAAATATCAACAAACTAGTTCCCAAGAACATTAAAATGTCATACTGGTTCCCAAGAGTAGCAAGGTATGAATTCCAAATATGTTCTCTTTAGAGTTGACCAGAATGTTTCTTAAACAATAAAAGCCATAACTACTGCCATTAGCTAACCTTGTGTTCTGTGAGATCGAATAATGCTCATGGAACTGATCCAGTCAGGAGAAATCTTTGACACCAAGGAATAAAGAACTTCAAGGCTGGTAGCATCCACAACAAGTATTTCTGGATAATGGCCATGACACAACAGTCTCCCTTCTCGCTGAGTCCCAATTGTGAACTGATAGAACTAAATTAAGACAATACAGATTAAAGCTTTAATAAAGGTTTAGGACTTTTATTGCATGCACTGAGGGGCTTTTTGCTCCATAATGTAGCATTTATTTGTACATCACACTGTATTTTTATTATTATTACATTTTTAAACAACAATAGCTCTAAGTCATTAATTATGTATCATCAAGTCAGAACCAATTTACAGTGTCCCTAATGCGATTTTCAAGATAGGTGAGACGTATAAGAAACAGTTTTACCCGTTCCACATACCCACTGATTTCCATGACTGAGCAAGAACCCACGGTTCCTGACTTCTAGCCCACACTACTTCACGCAGGGTCTCTTGCAACAAATACCATGGTTTTAATCAGAAAATCTATAATTAACAGAATACCAGATTTTCCAAAACGATCATTGAAGAAATTCTACTAAGCACATCACTATGCACATCACAAGTTCAATTTGTACTTCTGTATTTTCAGCTTTTATCTTTACATTATAGAGCAAGCTTGGTATAGTGGATAGAATGCAAGACCAGGACTGAGGAGACCTGGATTCAAATCCTTGCTGGTCCTATGGATGGGGGGGGATGTAACTGTAACCCAGTTCTGCACATCTCACCTACTACATCTTTGTATAAAGCTACATAAAATTTAAGTCACAATTCATATTACACTCTAAATTAGAACCAAAATCAAGAGAATTTCATTTGGCATTCCTTCAATATTATTGTTTTGCAATCATCCACTGAAACAATTTACTAAATTAATATGCGACTACAAAATCCCTATGATCAACTTCCTGGCTTCACATTTATGCTAAAGCTGTCAACTTCACAATTGTTCAAACAATTATAGTTGTAACTGTAACTGTCAAGTTTCTGCCAGTTTTTCCAAACTCCTTTTAGCTTTCAGCTCTTTCACAAAACAGAACTGATCTCCAACACAAATATGAAAACTACTTGAGTGGTTATTGTAAACTTCACTTAATAAATCGTATTCTTTCCATTATTCATTCAGTTGTGTATGTAGCCAGTTTAGTCTATACATAAAGGATTTACCTGGATGCCAGTATGAGTGCAGGCTAGTTTAGTAAATTCAATGCATCTTCCATCATTCACATCCCAGAGGCACATCTCCCTAAACAACAGAAAGCTCAGTTAACTAGTTATCTTTTTCCACTCATCTGAACACAGGACCTTCTGGCTTATTCCTTGACTCCCTCTTCTGGTAAGGGCAGCAGGAGAAGAAAACTGGTCAACGATCCTACACAAAACAGACCATCATAACACAATGAAAAACAGAGATGCAATTAGTTAGAATTAGGATGGGAACAGTGCTTACCCACTTTCAGATGCACTCACTATATACTGTTTCTCGCTTGAGGAACTGGCTTTGGACAAGCAAGTGACTGAAGCTGTATGACCAAACAACAGAGCTCTGGGATTTATCTAGAATCGAAGAAAGAAAGAGAAGCCAATATAAAATTAACGGAAAGTTCTCTGGATGGTTAGGAAAGCTGTGGGAAAAGGCAACAGTTAATTAACCCACATAACTTACTGCACTTTTAAAAACGGAAGAATGAAAGGGAGATGATTATGGTCTGTCATTGGATGTATATATTTTTAACCATGGTAAGAGAGAAACACGCATCAAATCAATTATTTCCTTTACTGTGAAAGATCAGGCAAGATTATCTTCATCTAGTGCCTCAATGATTCAGCTTGTACTCTTTGCCAAACCACTGGATCCTAATCCGGCTTCCAGACAAATGGGAAAGAGGAAGAAAAGGGAACATGAAAGTCTGAGGCCCGGGTCAAACTACGTCAATGGTCTAGTATGTGGCCTGTTGTGCTGCTAACAGATACAAATTCATAAAGTTGGTTGAAAGGTAGTATTGAGTGCAGTTACTATTGCACAGCAGGGATCACGCACATAAAATGCTCACGCTACCACCTACACAACAACAGCTGAAATCTTGTTGCTTACCATAGTAAGTCAAGTAGGCCCCTTGAATTAGTTGGGGATTTGGCAACTGACTGAATTGGCCTACTATTGTTGCAACTTGCTATATTAAACAACAAGATTTTAGCCAATGTAATGCAGCATAACTCAGTGGGGATTTTCATTTGGCTAGCATGCTTGATTTAGGCCTACATATCCATCACATGCTGCCAAAACATAATTTGGCATCACAGGTGAACTGAAACTACACAATGTTTTATCAAATCCCATAAAAAAATAAAATTTAAAGTCACAGCTGCTCCACCTTCCTGCGTTATTTTTGATCTGCGCACAATACCTCGGATGGCTATTTTAGACATTTTATAGAAAAATGTTATTGCTCTAACTACTGTCGCCAATGCTAATTCCTTTTTGTTTCAGAAATAGCAAGACTCAGCTTTTGTCTGATCTTGCTCTCTCTTTCTCTCTCATGCTTTTTAAAATATTTTATTTCCTTAAATCAAAATATGCAAGTGTCATATTTATGTACAGTACTTAAATAAAGTCATTTCATTATGGAACCTTGAGAGTGGGGAGCAAAAACAACAATAACAACCCCTCAATGAGGTACTTGGAATCTATGAAGCAAGGCTACAAATTCTAAACATGGATTAGACAGCTATCAACAATAGAAGTACTTTATTGTAGAACAACTTTAGCTATAGCCTATGATTTAACTGATCAAGCATGTTAGTGAGTTTAAAAACATACATGTATATGCTATTTGATTTTGATGATCAATTTAACAGGAAACGAGCAAAATAATGGGTGGTAGGATTTAAGTGAAATACTGTACATTTTAGCTTACATAAGCTTATGTTTTACAAAGAAATATATATGACAAGGCTTTGGTAATACACATATTCAAGTTTAACTGACCAATTAAATGACTTCAGAAATCAATAATCAAAAACAGCCTTAACAATAAATCTAGCATTTACATTTCTTTACCCTTTGTCAATTCAATCTCAAACTATGAAGATCTGTTTATCAATGGACCCTAAAGTTTCCAAAACTTGTTCAGGCTTAGATATTGCCCGAATGCCAATAGGTATGCCAAACAGGATATATGCTATTCTTTGGAGATCTTCAAAGTCTTTGACAGAATGCACAGGAGGAGGCATATCTATGTTGTTACGAGTAACTGATTTGGTCTCAATACTATCATGAGAATCTGAAACCATGCTTCTCTTCAAGACCAAACAAGTGAACCTTCTTAGAAGCTAAGGCTAAAAATATTCCATCCAGCTTTCAACGTATCTGGTGATTGCTCTGTTGCCTGCTATTTGTACTAGCAAATTAATATCATCCCATTGGCTCTTTCAAGTACTAGCCACACTCTATTATCTTACTGGTATACAAGATGTAATTTACCATGGAAGAAAGCTGGCTCCTTTCATCCAATCTGAATAACACGTAGGACACTCTGCAGTTGAATTTGACAGCTGAGCGTTGCATGCTACAAACTGTATCAGGTCAACTAAATCTATCCTATTGGTTAACAACTATCCAGCATAAACTCGCTGCCTTGTACTGCTTCTTGTTCCACAGTTAAAAATTTACAGCTATTTGTTTCCAAACAGATTATTACTTAAAACTGGCATCTGTGGCTCTAAACAAGATTGAGCAACTGAAATATGTCTTAAGAATCATCTGCCTGTTTACATCAGAAAAGAGAGTTGTAAAAAGATCTTTTTTAAAAAGCAGTTATGATTTCACTGTGTAGATTTCTGTTTCTATTTCATTAATCATCATCATCATCCCATCTCTGAGGAAGTTCAATGGTGGTTTCCTATAAGCACACAAGAGAGACACAACTGTCTTCGAAGGTAAAATTCACCTATATAAAGAGAAGAAAGAGCAACTCCTGGCTATAGGAGACCTGAATAGCTTATAAGAGATCTGATTGTATCTGTTTGTATTTTCAAGCCTATGCATTCTTCAAAGGTTTAATGTAAACACAACAACCTAACTATACCTCTTCCCACCAAAGCAGTTTTAGAAGGAGACTTGTTTAGGAGAAACAATGCATTCCCTAGGTTCAGTATCTGCATTGGTTATTCATGTTAAATTGAGCTAGCAAGTTGACCTCAAAAAGGTCAGGGGAAAAAGGGAAGTACACAGGGTTGCTTTCGGCAGAGTTTATTGATTTTCCACAGCTTAATGATTTCTTTTTTAAAAAAATCAACACTCTCTCCTACAAAAGCAAGCCTATGAATATCAATAACATATATTGATTGCTATGCATCGGCTCAAGCAACAAGGTTTTGCCTTCAGAGAAGCATATGTAGTGTAAGTATGTTTCAGCTGCTCATTACCAGTAAGATGCACAGTTCAGATTAGAACTGTCCAGATATTTGCTTCAACCGCATTGTCATAAATAAAGTTACCAAACCGTAAGTATAATTACATCTCATGTATCCTTTGGAAACATCAAGTACACAACACATACTTACTTCTAGATCTGAAGAGAGGTCCCAAAGACATGTTTGCCCATCATGACACCCTGTTACAATCATCGACACATCATCCATTAGTAGTATGGCTGACACACAGTGAGTGGGTGCTTTACGTCCCCAAAGCACAATCGGCAGGACCAAACTGTTGCCCGCCATTATGCTTTCACACCTGAAAATGCAAATACACTAATTAATATCATTTTAAATTCAGAGCTACAGAACTCATTTCATTTACAATATTACTATGGCACTCTGAACACCCAAAAGTGTTCTATGTATATACATTTAAGGAGAAATGTCTTTTTTACCAGTGTTATATCATGCTTGGCAAAAACACTTCCAAAGCTTTGTAGGCATTTTATTTACTCAGCAAAATACCAAATTATTTAAGGTTGTCAGGAAAGGGGCAGTGGGTTACAGGGAGATGTCTGGTTTAACTACAATGGCATGTGTGTTAGCTACATCATGCTTGGACTACTTTATTACTGTCCACATGGGACTGCCTTTGAAGAGTATTCGGAAATCCCAGCTCATCCCGAATGCTGCCACCACACTGCTGACCAGGGTGAGCTCTAGGGAGTAGATAATCTATTTTTTACAATAGCTCCAATGGCTACCAAACCATCTCCAGGTCCAATTCATAGTGCCAATTATGGCCATAAGACCCTATACAATTTGCATCCAGGCTATCTGAATGATCACATCTCTCCATATGAGCCTCTCTTATGGAGATCTTTGGAGAAGACTCTTCTCTTGGACATGGCATCCTCAGAGACCCATGAAGAGAGAGGACAGGAGCAAGGGATTTCCCATTAGCTTTCTTCAGGCTGTGAAAATACCTTCCACAGGAAACCAGGTTGATCCTCTCCTTACTGGTGTCCTTCCACTAGCAGCTTTCAGTGATCGATGCTAACATTCTTATTCTTTTCCTACTTTAAAAAATTGATTTAAATTGTTTTAATGAACTTAATATTACTGAATGCATTTCAGTATTACAATTTACTGTGTTTTTTATTCCTGGGTCCCTGAATTGGAGAACAGGTGGGATACAAACGTAGCAAATAAATATATAGATTATAATGAATGGTGCTTCATCTATATTTTAGATACTCACCAGAATTCTACTGTGGATTTATGCTGGCAAAGAATAATTGCACAAATTGCTGCAGCGAACTACCACTAATTAATGAGTTGCTATTTGCTTTCCTAGTTGTTAGTAACAAAATGTGTAATTAGGGTTGCATGTCATAACTACTTAATTAGCAGCAATTTGCTGCCATGATTTATGCAATTATACTTACACTGTCAGACATTCACAATAGGCTTAAGGCCATAAATATGTATTTTGTTATTTAGCCTCCCTCCACGGAGTCCCAAAACCTAGGGGCGACAACAGAGGAAACCCTCTCCTATGACCTGTTATCAGAGAAGCTTCCTCAGAAATCCTAAAACTGTAGCACATTAGATTTTTTTATAAGCAAGAACTTAAATACTGGCTCAGTTTGTTTGGCCCAATAAGGTAATGAAATGTACTTATAAATCTCATCTACATATACAGGAGCAGCTCGTTAGATTGTTTCTTCCCCAATATAATGACAACCAAACTACAAATCCAACATTGGATTTCTTCTCTGATTTGTAGGGAAACAAACAAGCCAGAGATGAAACTACACCCACACAGACAGCATGTTATGCAAACCATGGAATAAAGATCCACAGTTTAACTGCTTCTGATGCAAACAGGAACAATCAAGCGGAATGAATCCACATTGGTCACAATGCTCCCATGGTAGTTTTTAAGAAACAACTGAAAACATGGATGTTCAGGCAGGCCTCCCCCCTTTCCACCTAACACCTAATTATTCTTTTTTTTTCTGTTATAACAATGCTCCCATGGAGTTAGGGCTCCCATGTATGACTGGCTTAGATTGTCACTGAAAAAAGTAACTAACTGGATAAAAACATCAATATTTTTTTTTTCTGCAACAGGTTTTGTTACATACTGTGTTATAAGCAAATGATGGAAATGAAGGGGTTGCAATATTCTTGCAATGCTAGTATTTGTTCTTGATTGCCATTTGTGGGGCAATCATTTTTCTTACGGTTATATCTGATTTTTTTTTTCAATACACACAGAGCCTGTGCTTCAGGGCAAGAGAGAACAGCTGGCTATTATTTCATCTCTCAGTGCCCCATCACTTTAGTGGTAAACTGCTAATTTGGTGTGTTATGAAATACTTTTAAAAATAACAATATTTCTGCTCCCATTTTAAAAATAACACAGTAAAGTGATCTTTTCAAGGAACAAGCAGCACCTTCATCATTTCCAACTGTTCTAGCTGGCCATGCAGTAGTATATTTTACTCAATAATTGTGCAGAGTAATTCTAATAGCTTAACTAGCCTACCGGTATTGCTAAGGCCACAAAATTATGCACTACTGTATCTTACAACATTAGAACAGAAGAAAAGTCCTGCTGGATCAGGCCAAGGGCCCATCTAGTCCAGCTTCCTGTATCTCACAGTGGCCCCACCAGATGCTTCTGGGAGCACATGACTTACAAGTTTTGTAACTATCTTTTTCAAGCTAACTTAAGGTGCTCTCTAATTTACAATTTATTCCTAGTGCTCTGCCAGACATTGCAAGTAGGATAGCCTTCAAGGAAAGGGCACCTCTCGAAATTCAGGTCTTCCTTGTATCCATAGGTCCGTGCTCTGATCCTTCAAATTCATTCATTTAGGAACTGTAAGCTGCTTGTTCACAGTATACTTTCTCAAGGTAGTATACAATTAAACTTAAGAGAAGCGATAAAAACAATAACCTCAACATCAACTGTAATAACTAGATACTGTTGTACCTATACATAAATGGTCACAATTTTAATTTAATTATAGGCAAGGTGAATAGGTGAGTTTTCAGGGCCTGACTGAAAATTTGTAATAACTGGGACAGGTTCCACTTTCAAAAGAGTTCCACAAAGGGTGACTTGGGCTACTCCTGAAAAGGCTCTATCCTCTATGCTCGCTATTCTAACTGTTTTAATTAACCTCCAGTGCTGATCTGACAGGTAGGCAGGTGGGTGTGAGTGAACTGGATCCTAGATTTTGCTAAAGTTTATCATCCTAAACACAAGTGCAAATTCATCCTCCAAAATCTTATCTGTCAATGATGTTTACTTACAATTATTCCTTCCTAAACAGTAACAGCTCACTATGTTTTTAATAGCAGTTTGCTAATCAGAACTTTGGACAAAATCTTGTTGCTTAGCATAGAAAATAACACTAGAGTATGCTTGCTGAATCAATAGGGAGACAATGTCAACACCTTCATAAATTTCACTGGGCCTACTCTAACTATGATTCACTATGCTAAAGTGATTAGGCATCCTTCAGACTCAAGAGACTATGGTAACGTGCTCTGAATAGAGGTCTTGGAACAGTGTCTAGTGTGGCTGAGAAGGCCAATTCGAGAGCGACAATCCATTCCACACTGAAGACAAATATAATCTGTCCCCTGTCCTGCTCCCTGCTTTGGCTGGTTTCGGGACTGCCTCTTTGCCTTGGCCTGCTGAACAAGTGTCTTTTCAAAATGGGAGAGGCCATGATGCACCGCCTGCCTCCAGGCTGAACGCCCAGAGGTCAAGATTTCCCATTTGTTGAGGTCCATTCCTAAGGCCTTCATATCCTGCCTGCAGATATCCTTGTATCGCAGCTGTGGTCTCCCTCTGGGACACTTTCCCTGCACTAATTCACCATACAGGAGATCTTTTGGAATCCGGCCATCAACCATTCTCACAATATGCCCAAGCCAACACAGACATTGTTGTTTCAGTAATGTATACATGCTAAAAATTCCAGCTTTTCCAGGACTACTCTATCTGGAACTTTGTCCTGCCAGGTGATACCAAAAATGAGTCAGAGACAATGCATATGGAACGTGTTCAACTTCCTCTCCTGCCTGCACAAAGGGTCCAGGACTCACTGCAGTACAGGAGTGTACTCAGGACACAAGCTCTATAGACCTGGATCTTGGTATATGCCATCACCTTCTTATTAAGCCATACTCTCTTTGTGAGTCTAGAGAACATGGTAGCTGCTTTGCCAATACGTTTCTCCAGCTCAACATCTAGGGAGAGAGTGTCAGAGATCGTTGAGCCAAGGTACACAAAGTCATGAACAACCTCCAATTCATGTGGAGATGGTAATAGAGGGAGGTGAGTCCACGCCCTGGCCCATGACTTGTGTTTTCTTCAGTCTGATTGTTAATCCAAAGTCTTGAAAGGAAGGCCTTGCTAAAATTATTCATAAATTGTTAGACGTCTTCAGCAGATTGGGCAACAACAGATGCATCATCGGTGAAACGCAAGTCCCACATGCATTTCAGCTGGACCTTGGTCTTCATTCTCCATGACCAAAGACATGCTAAAATATGTCGCAATAATAGTGGGCCCATTTGAATCTATGAAACTTGTGAAGGAACTGACTCATGAAATCCTCACTGATTGAATAGGCCTACTCTACTGAGATTTACAATACAAAACAACAGGATTTTGGCCAATTAGTATTTCAGCTCCTCAGGGTACTTGTGAGAGAAGTCTTGCAAAACACAAGCTAAAAAAGAGAAAATCAATAGCATGCTGAAGGATAAGGTTTTGCTGAAGTTTTGAATTAGTTTATGAAGTTATCTTGTACTTTAAAATTGGTAGATTACAAATTCTTCATTAAATAAGATTATGCATTTCTTCCTTGTGAATAGCTTGCTTCACTCTGATTGTTTTTAAGGTCAACAAGTCTAGAGTCAGGTATGGCTTATTCAAAGCAGGTCAATTTATTTCAATTCTCTGAATAGCTTCTGTTTACATCAGCCTTCTGTTATCTAAACTACACATCTCTCCCTCAGGATAAAACATGTTTAAAGTGATCATATACAAGGAACCACACAACCACCAAGATATACAAAACAAAACTGTACTTAATGATGTACACTTATGTGACAGCAAGACCCACTGAACCCTGTGTGGCTTATTTCTGATTCAATATAGGATTGTGCTTTAAGCAGAGAACAAACCCATGAAAATGACTAATGGTATTCTTCATGCAGAATAAAGCAGAAAATTAAACAGTACTTAATGGCAAACACCTATTAAATTGGAAACTATGAGTAACCAGA